TATTTGTAAGTAACGCAAATCTAGAGTTCTTACCTTTTCTTTTACTTTTTATTATTCTTACGCTTCTACATTCCTAAGTTCGTAGGTTCTTACCGATTCTTCTGAATTGTAAAATTTAATGTCAAATTTTAAATGTGTTCAAAAGCCTCCATGAACGCCTCTTTCAATAAAAAACTTTTTGACTTTGTTCGACGGAACCCAAAACAAATCGAAACAATTTGAGTTACGAAAGAGTGAAGCCCCAACAATGGTGCTCCCAAGAAGACAGTTGCGCAACAGTCGCGTCATTGCACCGCGACCACACCACGTCCTGCTGACTCAGCGCGCTCTTAATTACGGATCCGCATTCAGACCTCTTGTCGATTGGGAAATTGGGTATTTCGAAAGGTCGGTCTGTGGTCTGCAAGTTGAATCTGCAATGTGCTTGAAAGCCAGCCGTGTCACTTGTCCTAATAGAGTTTATTTATTTATTTAGACAACACACCAACAGCAAAACAATACACACAAAACATTCAAGCTTAAAACTAACATGTATAAAATTAAGACTGGTATGTAAGCCAGTTACAGGCATGTACAGCCAGCTCTTGGCTTTGAAATGAACTCCCCTCCACGTTGTTTTCCGAGCGCTATGACATGTCCTTCTTCAAAGGAGGCTTGCGGAGAGTACTTTATGGTAGGCAGCGGCTTGGCTCTGCCTCTGGCATTGCTGACGTCCATGAGCGACGGTGACCACTTACCATTAGGTGGGCCGTATGCTCGTCTGCCTACAATGGCAATAAAAAAAAACTCTTATAACACACTACGACATGTTACAGCAATTTTACAAACAACGGATAAATAGGTTAAATTTAAATGTTGACAGTACGACAAAATAAAAATTTAAAAAGGTCAATAAAACAAGAGTTAACTTCTTAACATTCTCTTATCTATATCTATACTAATATTATAAAGAGGAAAAATTTGTTTGTTTGTTTGTATTGAATAGGCTCCGAAACTACTGAACCGATTTGAAAAATTCTTTCACTGTTTGGAAGTTACACTATTCCCGAATGACATAGGCTATAATCTTTTTTGAAAATAAATAGGGATCTTTATTAAAACTCCAATAATGAAACCCAAGGTGTAAAAAAAGGACCTAAAATATTCTTTAGATCGCGTGCCCTGCGAAAACTATTGATGATAGGATAATATAATGTACTACGACTTTGTAGAACACATTATTATTTTCAAAAAGTGTTGCGACAGCATACGTCTAACTATTATAGTTATGTCGCAATAAGTGTTCTTTTATTTAAAAAAATAAAACAACGTCGTTGAAATTTTTTGTTAAAGATCCGAGCGGAGCCGGAGCGGGCCGCTAGTTAATTATAAACATAGGAACTTTGATACTACAGTTTGTTTTTGAGACCAGGACACGTGTCGTTAAAAATGTCGATGCCGTCAATTAATGCACATATTTGGTTATATTCACTACAAATCTTTGATAAAGGGGAATATCTAAGGAGGTTTGTTCTACTCGCGCGAATATGGAAAATGTTAGTGATGGGATGCCGTGGACAGTGGTATGTAACGCTAAAGTTGATTTTCTGAAGTAAGTGGCTACAAGCTATGCTTCTATGTGTTCTATTTGAGAGAATCTATGAGCTCGTAATGTTATACACCGTTGTTTCCTTGTTCCCGTCATTTTCTGTCGGACTGTCATTGGTCATCACTTTGACACATGTACCAGTTGAGCTCCCTGACCGGGACGTCGACTTCACCCACATACGTTGAATGTAAAGCAACTCACGTATCTTATATAGTTAGTAGATGTATGCGCGTACACATAGCGGATGTTGGCGCAGGTACGTCGCGCGTCGCAGCGGCGGCCGCACGCTGACCCAGTTTTTCCGCATTAGCAAACAGAACGTCTCGCATTCCTGAGCAAGGAGCTCCCGGGCAGCTGCCTAACTGTATACAACATATTGCTTGTGGTGGACGAGCTCACAGCCGACCTGGTGTTAAGTGTTTACTGGAGCCCATAGACATCTACAACGTAAATGGGCCACCCATCTTGAGACGTAAGTTCTAAGGTCTCAAGTATAGTTACAACGGCTGCCCTACCCTTCAAACCGAAACGCATTACTGCTTCACGGCAGAAATAGGCAGGGCGGTGGTACCGACCCGCGCGGACTCACAAAAGGATCTACCACCAGGGAAAAGGGAGTTCTAACGGAGTCCACCGTCTGCTCAATGCGTGGTATACAATTTGAAGCAAAACGTGTCGACGCCACTGAAATCAGTGTGCTGAGTGCGAGTTTATTAACGTTCTCGATAGCGTAAAAGTTAACTCTTATTTGTATGCAGTTGGAACGTTTGCCTACGTTTTCCACTAGGGGCGCTGTTCCTTTTTTTTTTTGCCTACCTAAGCTGATAGCCTTGAGAGGCTATTTCAGCGGAATCTTAACTAGAAGTTGAGCTCACGGGGCTCAAACCTGAGGACGTTGCTAACACGGACCGTAGCAAGAGCCGTGCTTCGCAGAATCTACCACCGGATCGGCAACGCGATCCACTGAGAAGATCCGGCGAGAAACTCAGTGGGCTGTGTCTGAGAGTTAATTTACGAGCTCTTCGTCGCAAGCGACGGGTTCGACGAGAACGATGACCGGTGCTTGAGGTACCTAAAAGCACCGTTAGTGGATCGGGATGATCCGAAATTACGTGTAGCGCTGTTCCAACTGCATACAAAATTCAGTTACTTTTACGCTATCGAGAACGGTAATAAACTCACACTAAGCACACTGAAGACGCACCGTGTGCCCGGACGAGACGACGTCTTACCACGTTCACTCTAGGACATTTAGTGTTGCCATTGTGTCTAAGGTATTCATTTGTGAATGCATTATTGTATCTATACGACCACATCAAATAAAACATTTCTCAAATAATTTGGCGAAACAAACAATTTAACTTCACACTGATCCGTGTAATAGCAATTTTTGTAAAGTTAGATCTGATTTTATGGCCATTACGCGCCTGATCATTTACGATTGATACCTACAGGGTTTACCTTAAAATTTCAATTTAGCATAAAAAGATCGATATTTTGAATCTGATTGAATTATGAAATGATTTAAACACAATTACATTCCACACACGTACGCACTCGATCTACTGAGGTACACGTCGTATTCTGTATGCAGGCGACACCTGCCTGCCTGTCTGTGTGTGCACGTGCGTGTGTCACCGCTGCCACCATTGGCACTGCTATTAGTAAACTATTGTCTACACAGCACATTAAAATAACAGTAGTGCTAAGACAATGTATGCCAGAATTATCATAATACATATTATACAATAGCCAACGTTGGTACGTGTTCCCAGCCCACACGTGAGGGACTGTACCCACTTGCCATTGAATAGTTAACAGTGATGGTTCAATACAGACTGTCTTTGAGTAAATCGTTTTCTTAGAATTAAAATGTTTAAAAAATATTTTATGATCTACTCGCGACCCGCCCTCGCTTCGCTTCGGAAACATTAAATTTTATTATTGATAGCTGAGGCCCGCGATGCTACCCGCGGTAATTTTCGTACTGCAGGTGACGTCGCGGGGCGAAGCTAGTCTAAAAAAAGTAGTCTAAGTTACTCCTTATATCATCAGCTACCTATCAGTGAAAGTCTTGTCAAAATCGGTCCAGCCGTTCCAGATATTAGCCGGAACAAACAGACAGATAGACAAAAATTGTAAAAAATGTTATTTTGGTGTATGATATTCATATGCATGTAGTAAAAAGCGGTTATTTCAATATTACAAACAGACACTCCAATTTTATTTATAGGTGTAGATTACTTTATTCTATCGTCAATAGTTTTCGCAGCGCACGCGATGTAAAGAATACTATAGATAAATTTTTTTACACCTTGCGTTACATTATTGGAGTTTTAGCAAGGATCCCTAATAAAAAAAAAAGAGATTATAGCCTATGTCACTCAGGGATAGTGCAGCTTCCAAACAGTGAAAGAATTTTTAAAATCGGTTCAGTAGTTTCGGAGCCTATTCAATACAAACAAACAAACAAATCTTTCCTCTTTATAATATTAGTATAGATTGACATATATATTTGAATTGTAGTTAAATATCAAAACATTGACGTGGCGAGTCCGCACGGGTTCGTGGTGCCGGCTGCTAATTCCTGCCACTAAGCTACCACGCGTCCTGGGCACACGTCATCGTGCAAGTAGCCTGTACAGGCGCCAGCGCCCCCAACGATGTCCACTAACGCTGCCATTCCGTAGGGTTTCATGGGCTCCAACACGCTTTTCATTCTGCGTATGAATGACATGACAATGACATTCATATTCATTGTGTCTGAAGTGGAGGACGCTGAAGGATGTCAGTTGAATTTATATAATTATAATCAACCCTTTGAAAACACAGTGCGCGCTCACCGCGAAGAATGTCTCCTCCATTGTGGCGCAACAATTGCAAGTAACCGCCCAACCTCACATCGGTATTGAGATTCTTCGAGTCGATATCTGGAGTGATATTCAGTAACATGTTGGGAGTCCTCAACAGAGCGAAGTGGTACTGACTTGTACTTCACAAAGCATAGGCTCGACCTCGCGTGGAGTACTGCTCACATTTCTGGTACAGGGCTCCCAAATTACTGTTACTGCCATTTGATTCCATACAGAAGACCGTTCGTTGATAATTATTCTATTCTCACGCATTAATTGGGACCTCTGAATTTACGAAGTCAGTTTTGCCACGTTTGGCTCTGACTGTGTTTTGTATCGTGTGGTAAAAGGGGGGTACGCTAAGGAATGATCCGAAATGATCCCTTCATCTTCTTTATACCATCGCCCCGCACCTCACCCCACCCCACACCACCGCGTCGCCTTTTCTTAGGGGAAACGTTGCTTAACCGTAGCCTTCATAAAGTTGTAGATGTTTCTATTAAAATTTGTAGTAAATTCCAACTGCATACGCCAATTAAGTTATAATTTATTTCTTCCAGGTACAATAAGTTGGAATCGAGCCACATCCAGAGGACACAGCTACCAAATGTGAAGAATACAAACAAATAAATAATAATAATAACAATCGAGTTGTGTTGAATAATGTGAGAGTGCGGGACGGATGTGCAGTGCGTCGCATAGAACACCGCCTACACAAGATGGCCGCCGCGAACACAAAATGGCGGACGAGAGAATACAACGCGGTGCTGCTCCTTATATTCATCCAGGCTGTTAACGGTATGTACAATTCGCTACGCAAATATTAATTTATACGGAATAACTTAATGACAACGTCCTGATAGCCTTGAGAGGCTATTTTAGCTTCACCCTAACATGTAGGTGAGCTCATGGGGCTCGAACCGGAAGTATTGCTAACATTGGCCCTAGCAAGAGCAGTGCTTCGCGGAGTCTACCACCGGATCGGAAACGCGACTCACGAGAAGATCCGGCGAGAAGCTCAGTGGGCCAAATTCTCAAGTGAGAGTGTTCGTTAGGAAAATTGATGTAATGCACATTCGAATTGAATTAATAGCAATTAGTCGTTACTTAAATAGAATCGGTTTCTAAATTGTCGCCAAAGCATTATATAACGTCTAGTCTAGACATTCCACTCAGACTTATATAACCTGTAAAGCCACATAAAAATTTCTAATCACCATTCGCCTTAATATACAACTAGTACCTATATAAAAGTAATCACCTCGCGGGTCCTGGCATGTGGCCTAAAAATTTCATTAGCTATGTACCTCGCGTCACATCATTAGTGACGTCTCAATCTAAAATTATTAAGGTAATGGTTACCATAAAGGGTAATGAACCCTGTGAAGAAGAATTTGCTACAATACCAGGTAAGGCTTCGGGGTTGCCCACAGCCACGGCGTCCCCACGACTTTTTTATGCGAACCCGTAGGTACATATGATTAATTGAAATATATTGTTAAATTAAGCCACGTGTCATGAGCATAGCGTCATCCAAAAAATAACTGAACGCCGTTTATTGAGTAGGTACTGCTGTGAACAAGCTTTTAAACTTATTTAACTTTATAGATGAAATCGCTATTTTTTTTATTAAATCAGGACCAATTGTATAAGATTTAAACACTAATGTTTAGCGGTAGGCAGCGGCTTGGCTCTGCCCCTGGCATTGCTGAAGTCCATGGGCGACGGTAACCACTCATCATCAGGTGGGCCGTATGCTCGTCTGCCTACAAGGGCAATAAAAAAATAGATACTACACTGCTGCTTAGACATGGGGTGAGTATGTATCTACCCGCAGCCGAGCGACCAGGCCGCGCGACGCCACCTTCACCGAGCCCCGTCTCTCGATTTACGAACATAATGTGATCTCAAAGTATCTCAAAACGCTTCAGTCACGGTCCGTAGGTGGGCCTCGGGGAATGACCTGTCCTTGAAGTGACGCACGCAGCCTCCGCCTCGTCTCTCTGCGAGATCTATGTATCATTTGTTATATCATGTCGATAGTTCAATAAACATCACAGAACCGTGTCTTACATATCTACTGAAATATACTTTATGAATTTGACGTACTAACAATTGTGTTGTCACGTGCGAGTCTTGGACTAAATGACCGCCGACAACCCAACGATACCAAGACGTACCTATACATGCAACAAGTTATAATAATACTATGTAATATTGTCACTGTATAGATACGTAATACTTATCTCACGTTTGTTCTGTTTGTAAAAAGCATAACCGAAGATGAAGAAATTGAATTAGGCAAGACATAACGACGCGCAAGATATAGCTCGAACAGTAGTGAAAGTAAGAATCGACCTGTCACTTCGTTACTGTCTGTCGGCCCATTGTTCTCCATATTAACGTCTGACGTGGTACGGCCGTTGAATCTTGGGGAGATTTGTGATGGAATCTTAAAATATAAGCCGAGAACTTACACTTACTAACACTAACCCGGAATCGCGACCCACTGAGAAGATCCACCCAGAAACTCAGTGGGCTGTGTCTATGGGCTAGGTTGCACGTCCAAGTCTTCGTCGTATTCGACGAGAACGGTGACGATGTGGATCGACAACGACAGCTCTCGCCGGATCTTCTCAGCGGGTCGCGATTCCGATTCGGTAGTAGATTCATTCGCGAAGCAGCTGCTCTTGAGTTGTTAGGTCTTCTTTGGAGGCGCTCGGGTAGCTGTTAGCAAATCCCACCCCTCCTGGCTGAGCCTTTGCTCGCCCACCTGTCCTGGTGAAACTGGAAACGCCTCCGGGCCACCAGTAATACTTCAATAATAAAAAAAAAGCTACGAGAGTGGTTCCGGGGATTCAATAAGACATGCTCAGGATGAGAGCGGCTTTGCGTTGCCCGGTCGTCAGGGTTGCGCCGCTTTTTCGAAGAGGCGTTCTAACCTTGTTTTTAGATACTAATGTATCAATTCCAATTGGAGGTCCTCGTGATGATCGACATTCCTCACATACCACAGTACTCCGACATCTATCTTGCAGAAACGGGATCAAATGACCCGGAAAGAACTAATGTGGATGCGGGCCGCGTGAGTGAACACTACACTTGCAGGTCATGACGGAACGTAGGCAAGTTTGGTAAAGTGTCACCTGATTAGGAAGGAATGTGCCACAAATAATAATGAAACCAGATAAATTGAATGTACTTCTTTAGGAAAAATATACCATAGTTTTCAAAAATACAAATAATACTTTTCGTGGTCACAACGATGCTATTTACACGAATTTGAATGCTATTTCAACTTCCCATACGAGGAGTTCTCATGATATATTTTTCATATTTTATCATAAAAATGCGTGGGACGGTAGATGTCAATAATAATAAGTATTTTATAGTAAGATAATGAATTGTAAAAGTACAGTCATTATATCTTAAGCTTTTGAGTGACTCGGTGATGCAGTAGTTAACGGGCCCGACTGTTGTGCCGAGGGGCGTGGGTTCGGTTCCCGCATCTGGCAAATATTCGTATGATTCTATATATGTATGTATATATTTAATCACATATAAGTATATATATATGTCAGTCTCTGGTACCCACAACACAGGGAATCCTAATTTGGGGCCGGATGAACGCGCGTGATTTGTTCCCACTTATTTATTGTTATTATTATTTAAAAAGCGCCCCGCACTTTTTTACCATAAAATGATTTTTTCTTAATTACTCTATCATAATTTTATAAACCTATAGAATTAATTAATTTAATAGTAGGCAGCGGCTTGGCTCTGTCCCTGATATTGCAGACGTCCATGAGCGACGGTAACCGTTTACCATCAGGTGGGCCGTATGCACGACTGGTGGTAGGACCTCTTGTGAGTTCGTGCGGGTAAGTACCACCACCTCGCCTATTTCTGTCGTGAAGTAGTAATGCGTTTCTGTTTGAAGGGTGGGGCAGCCGTTGTAACTATACTGAGACCTTAGAACTTATATCTCAAGGTGGGTGGCGCATTTACGTTGTAGATGTCTATGGGCTCCAGTAACCACTTAACATCAGGTGGGCTGTGAGCTCGTGCGCCCATCGAAGCCATAAAAAATAAAAAAATGCCTGCAAAGGCGATAAAAATAAATATATATTATCTACTCTTTAGTTCAGCTACAGAAGCGTGTTTTTTTTTGTTTCATAGTCTGTTATTTATTTTTGCTTTTTTAATCATAAATTATGATAGTTTCATAGTGAGAAAGAGTCGGCTCTGTAGTGTATCACGCGTTCACTCATGTTCGTTCTATGAGTAATTACGTACTCAAACCATTTCATCCAACACAACGCTGTTACACGGACTCGCACTGTCAACTTTGAGCAACCAAGCTATTCCATCCGATGCTAGGTTCCGGAGAAGGAACCTGAGAAACAATTTGGCATCTGGTTTGTGTACGTTTTAACTCTCACATTCACAACCGGCGCTCACAACCAGCAACACAAGTGAAATACTGCATGAGCTAAGATTCATTGCATTAACTTACCATTTAACTACGTTTTTAGTGATTGACCAGCGTCACGTGACAAGCTTATTAATCTATACTAATATTATAAAGCTGAAGAGTTTGTTTTTTTGTTCGAACGCGCTAATCTCAGGAACTACTGGTCCGATTCGAAAAATTATTTCAGTGTTAGATAGCCCATTTATTGAGGAAGGCTATAAGCTATATAACATCACGGTAAGACCAATAAAAGTGGGGCACCAACAAAAGATGTTTCAAAATATTTTCACTTTCTACGTAAATGAAGTGGGGGTAAAATTCAGCGTCATGCCAAAGTAACTATTCCACGCGGACGGAGTCGCAGGCAAAAGCTAGTATTATAATATTTCAACAGAATAAAACTTGTAATAAAACAAATAATGCTAGTGTTCACAGCTCGAGGTGTACATACATACATTATCATGTTGTGCTTTTTACTTTTCAGGCTACGAAGAGTCTTACACAGTATCACAGCTGTCACCAAAGTCAGAAGCCGTGGAGAACGTGCCGCGGGGCGCGCTGCTGCAGACGAGTCAACTCGAGCGCGTGCCCTTCACGATAGAACCCAGCCGGTATGAAGAGTACGAGGCCGCGTCTGATCCACACGTCGTCGACGGTGAACGAGATGACCACATTATCGTGGCCCGCTCCGCCGACCCCGTCGGCAGGGAATCGAGGTCTATCAATGTAGATAGCATTCCCTCCTCCAACAATGAAATAGACAACGAATTAGAAATACACAACAAAAGAAAATACTATGACATACATCCGACCAAGACTGTAGATTATTACTACAGCGATGATGACGTAATCTTGTCTTCCGAGGGCTTCGGGGACAGACTAGAGTTCAAGTTTCCGGGGGAAGGACAGCGGGTCCCCAAGGCGCGTGCACTGGCGCCCTCGGGACCCAGGATCCGGCCCACTGCAGTGCAACCGATCCTCGCGACCATCAGCCCTAAGGACGAGGCGAGGCAGAACACGGAGATCCAGAACATCATTACCGGTATAGTCAAACTCCTGAACGGGAACGTGAACGTCCAGGCCAATTCTCAACTGCTGAACGGGCGTCCCGGTAGACCTATGGCGTCGAGGATTAACAACCGTGGCCCGCCGCGCATCTCCGACCTGCCCCCGGACTTTGACAAGTTGATGATCACGCCTCCCCCGCATCCGTTTGCACCCACTAAGATTCCGCCTCCATACCCTTTCGACCGGCCTCACCATGGGGTCAATTTACCCGATCAAATTGTGCCTCCAATGAATCGCCCCGGGATCCGCCGCCCCATGCCGCCGTGGCAGAGACCGCGTCCTCGTCCGCCCAATAGGAAACCAAACCCGAACCTCCCGGCTTACAAACCAGTGCAAATACCACAGGACCTCATCGGTGAACTGTCTCAAGAAGATCTCACTACACCAGATAACGATACGACACTACAGAACAATATCAATCAAGATGAGATCACGTTCACTCTTCCTGATCTTAATACAACCGAGAGTTATAAAGAGGAGACGAAACCAGATGCTCCCGAAACTACTAGCAGCACGAGCACCACGACCACTTCGACAACGACAACGACAGAATCTTCCACGACGACCAGTACGACAACGACCACAGAGAAGCCGACCACCACAGAGCAGATCACCACCACAGAACAACCTACCACCACCACGGAGAAAGTTACTACAGAGAGAACGACAACAACTGAAAAAGCTACCACGACTTCCGAGGTGCCTAAAACAGAGAAACCAATAAAACAAGAGAAAGATAAAAAAAAGGAAATCACTGTGATCGAAAAAGACAAAAAACACAAAATCGATGAGAAGATAGGAAACAAGACGAGTAAGAACGAGACGGCATTCGATCAAATAGTACAGTCTTCGGTGCCCTTTGTGACTAGTTCCTCGGTGATAGCTCCGACGCCCACCGAGGGCCTGCCGTCGCACGCGCCCGCCGTGCCGGTCTCCAGTGCCAGTATAGAGAGCTCATCCATCAATTCTCAGCCGATACCTCGTAAGTGGAAATACTAATACTTCCTCTACTTCTGTTCCGAGTGTTCCACTAGCTTCTCTAATAGGTACGCGCAGCAATGTGGCGGGGACTAGTTAGTGGAGAGTTTTACCTAATGTGTTTTGTGTTTAATATTCAGCTTCTCGAGATATACATTACCACCCGTACCGTCCTCGGCCGGGCATAGTCCTGGACGACCCGGAGTTCAAGCCGCACGGGCGACCTCACCGCCAGGACGCGCCCGTGGTCACGGCGCACGACACTCGCCTGCCCGGCTACGGGGAGATCTTCGACGTGACCGTCTCCGCAGTACAGGGACCGGGGGAGAAGGGAGGCTCCGGTCAGTAACTGTATTTAATTATAATTTGCTCGAATTGTTTTAAATAGACGATGACCAGGCTTTGCCCGGTATTTTTTTTATATTTTATATGAAAAAGACACAAATAATATAAATAAACAATTCATTTTCTTGGTCTAACCTTAAACCAAACACTCATTGACTTCGGGTGGCTTAACGACGCCATCTGCTGAAATAGCTTAATAGTATTATTATTCACCAATAGATGTCGGGAAGAGTCAATCGATAAAGTTCAAAATTGAAAACACGATTACAACAACATTTTCTGAAAATAAATCGTAGCTAGATCGATTTATCGCCCCCGAATCCCCTGTATACTAAATTTTATGAAAATCGTTGGAACCGTTACCGAGATTCAGATTATATATATATTAATATACAAGAATTGCTCGTTTAAAGGTATAAGATAATGGTTCTATCATATAAGATATAGAAGAAAAGTTCTAAAACATGGTATTTTATGGATGGGTTTGGAGCTGATAGCTCTTGACTGAATTACGACAGATAGTTTTACCACCGCTTATAGACATTACTAAAAGCAAGGCCGCAGCTGAATGCACTGAATGCATCATTTCACTTATTGTGTTCTGAGCTCATAAAATGTTAACAGTCCACATAGAGACGGTAAACCTGTCACCGCACGGCGAACAAGACATCATAGTGTCGGCTTCCGGCTCGCAAGGGTTCGTGTCCATCGACGGGAAGAGGACCTACCTCAACCTCTTCGACAGCTCTACCCCGGACGCGCACCTGGCGCCCACCAGGGTACACACGCTGCCGATGTCTGGTAAGTTCGCTAAGTCAAACTTTACTCTTTCTCTACAAGTTGGTGTGACATAATATGCCGTAGTTGGGTAATACTTGATAGCCGATCCGCCAGTGGCTGACCTTACCTTCCTAGGGGTGAGGGTTGGTAAGACCAGGAAGTAAGGATTCCACTAGTGCGGGAGACATGCAATCCTGTTCTTAGGTGACGCGTCACTGTCGTTGCTTTGCTGCGCTGTCGCCGAGGGCGGAGGGTGGGTCTGGAGAGTTTGTTTGAAGGCGTCGCAGCGGACCTTAAGCTGGTATGTGTGCGAGTGGGCGAGTACGCAGATCTGATCACGCCAATCGGGTTTTGTTTCATCGTATATTCATTTTGTTCGTCTAGAAATACCTGTGACCAGAATATCCACCGGTGAGATCGCGTTACTTTGATTACGGTTGGTAATTGTTTCAGATAAATTATAGCTATTGAGCGTATGTTTGTAATCGACAGTGTTTTTGTTGTTGAAATATAGTGCTAACAATACATAAACAATGCACATGTTTACTTCCAGCCCCGCCGCACGCGCCGCGCCAGCCGCCGCCCGGACCTGACACAACAAAGGTAGAACATGCTCAACACGACCAACACTCTCCAACACTGGGCACGGGAGTGGCCATACCCACAGATGACGTACCACCTCCTCCTGTGAGAAGACCGGTGATGCATAGACCTCAAGGATATAGGAGACCACAGCCCACTGTCAGGTCGGTTATCACATTATTTACCGGGGTGAAAACATATCCACGTGTCGAAATTCTTTGGTCATAAATAATATGCACATGCATGGATGGCTTCCAGGATCGACACGTGCATCGTGGGCGACGACTCGACCTGCGACCTCGCCCAGAACGAACGCTGCAGGACCGAGGCAGGTACGTCCTCTGTAACGTGGAGCCTCCCTGTGTGGGGGGGTCAAGTTGCAGAACAACATCGTCCGTCTCGCTCCCTCATAGTTGTGTTATCTGTGAACTGTGACGGGCTGGTACACTGAACAAGGCTATAGCTCCAGTGTACGCCCGGTGTATCGATCGCAATACTGAAGCTAAATTTTGAGACAAAACATCAAAATGAATGACTCGCAACAAGCCTCCGCTTAGCGACAGAAGGCGTCCAGCTCGGCGCTGAAGGAATGTGGCGAGTCCACGCGTTAGTTCACATCCCCGTCCCCGTCACCATGAAGTTCATGGTATTCTTATCTAGTTACTGCCATGACCCTTGTCCTCGGAGCAACGTTCACCTTGTAGCAAAGTTTAAGTTCAAATTTTCAAAGGTTCAAAGGAACGAACTCTTCATCCAGTATTTCCTCCCCGAGTGCTGTCATATGTCTTGCTTCATGCTGGATGGTAATGGGGCCGGTGTGCGCAGGTATCTCTAGCTGCGGGTGCCGCGCTGGCTACGGGAGGCGCGTGCACCGCGACCCCTGCCGGAGGGTCACGGCCCTGCTGCTGGCTGTCAGGATCGACAGGATGTACGACACCAAGGTGCGCACCGCGGGCGGGAAGGGCGATGAGAAAGTGTAAAGCTGCGCAATACATAGCTTAGGTACAAAGATGCCCGTAATGATAGAAGACATTGTTGTGTTCCAGATAACGTGGGACCCGAAGCTGGCCGACAAGGACTCAGAGCTCTACCAGCAGCTCAGCTACGAGGCGCTCAGAGCCGTTAGTACTGTTTTGTTTGTGTTGGCTGGGTTTGTATGGTTGTGTTGAAGACAGTTGAATGTCCCAACGCAAGATTAATGGCGTCCGTCGACCGAAGTGTGATGTCCGCTCCTGTTGCCAGATCGACTCCGCCTTCTCGATGACTCCGTTCTCCGATGAGTTCGTGAGCGGCTCCGTGAACTCGCTGCACACCGACGACGAGCGCGCGGTGTTCGTCAACTACACCATCCTGGTGAGTCCAAGCGCGCGCCGCCGCCGCCCGCTCGGCACGGACCGGTCGTGATCTCTCTTGTCCCCCGCAGATGCAAGAGAGCCCGGAGTCTGTACGTCCGGCGGTGGGGTCAGAGATACAGAAGCAGCTGGTGGGCGTGCTGCGGAGACGGAACAACAACCTTGGAGCCTCCGCCCTCCATGTGCGCTCCCTCGCGGGCAGCGTGCCGCCCCTGCACGGTGAGTACCCCACGCTCTCATACTGCGCCAGTCGCGTACTGCGAGTACTCCATATTCTGTTCTTCAGTTTTTCACTTTCTATTATTATTGTGAATGCTTGTATGAGTGAGCGTGCTCCTGACCGAGCTGGTGCACAGTGACCACCGGAGCGCCACGCTCCTCGGGACTTGCGATTTAAGTGTCAGTCGTCTTGTAGAATGGCTGCCCCATCATTAAACCGGAACGCATTACTGCATCGCGGTGGAAATGGGTTGCGGTACAGGTGGTGGTGGCACGTCCACTCCATGAGCATGGTGGTACTCAGAAGAAAACCAATCAGTAGTAAACGTACCGCCCCAGAATCTTTGTATAAGAATGATTACGTTTCACTTCCTCCACGATCAGTATCCTTCCCTCCCACACAATTATCTCAATAACGCCATCCCATTACAGATGTGGACGAGTGCTCGTCTCCGGAGTTGAACGACTGCCACCAGCTCGCCACCTGCACCAACACCTGGGGCGGATTCAAGTGAGTCTTTCTTGTATTAAATTTATATCAGGTAGATAAAGACATATTATAGAGTTCGTGGAACACCGCAGAACCACAGAGGAGAGTTAGGTCTTGACACACATGTGATGCATCAATTTGTTCCAGATGTGCGTGCCCGGAGACGACCCTGGACCCTGCAGGGGAGGGGCGCGAGTGTCGGCAGTGCGGCGCCTCGCTGTGCTCCGACCGCGGGGAGTGCGCGTACCGACAAGGGCAGCCGACCTGCAGGTATCACCGTTTTTAGGTTTTATTTTTTGTAACAATTTATATTGTGAGGTTTACAATTACAAGTTTAAATATAAATGTACCGATTCGAGTCGTTGTCGAGCAACGCGGACACGTGCGCACTGCATTCTGCACGTGTGACTTCTGCACTCTTCTACGTTGTCCGATAACTCCTTGGATAGGTAATTACACATCGCAACGTGCGGGTTGGCGCACCAGAGCACCGGTGTCAGTTCTCACTGTGGGAACTGTCAGTGTGCGTAGAGTTCCCACCGCACAGTTACGGGGCGGTCCCGAACTCGGCGACAGTGCCCACGTGGCCTGCCCCGCTGTAAGCGCTATGCTATGTGCAGTTGCCGGTCGGGGTACTACGGGTCGCGCTGCGAGGTGGACGGCGGCGTGGTGGGGGCGGCGCTGGGGGCCTCGCTCGCCGCCGCGCTCGTCATCGCGCTCACACTCGCCGCGCTGCTCGCCTGGAGGTGCGTACACACACGGGGCGCGGGGGACAGCGGACACTCACATGTGGGCACGAGATAAGCGCACGTCTGGGGACGGCCGACGAGTGACACAAACAGATGGTAGGACGGGAGGGAAGTAAGAAGAACGTGGGGGAAAATATAATTATCAGTCACACAGTGATCATACACTTGGGTACACACACGGGACCATGGGGGGGACAAGGGACAATCACACACGCGGGTGTCCGTTATCATACATTATTTAATAGTTAGCAATGGACATACACATTCAATCCTGATCGCATTAATAAAAGCCTTGGCCCATATCCAGGCGCTTATTGCACGAGGGTAACCAGCTGGTACACGTAGACACTATCTAAAGGGAAAGTTTTTACGTTTGACTGTTTCTTACACGGTTTTATAAGAGTAACTGACGGATATTGTGTGAAATTTCAGACAAACATAGTTTGGTGGTATAACTTCTACGACAAAGCGAAGATCTTCCACCGCGCGGCTGATATTGCTCGGTGGACCGACGGGCTACTTGTATATCGTTATAGTTCGGAATGCAATTCTGTCAAATTTCTTGTGTTCTATGATGTCTACTGCCAATATATTTTACAGCATGGATTGGCACAGCAAGTTTTTTATTATATTACATGATATGGTCCGGGCAACGCCGGGTGTTTCTGCTGCAACAGAGACGGCACTGTGTTCCCTGGTCGGTGCTTATGTACTCTACAGCTGCTGGCAGTTTGTCAGCGACCACTGTTTGTCCAGAAAAACGCACGCACGTGTTGAAATGTTTCCCAATAAGAAACCGCGAGTAGCGCCGCGGGGCACGTCCGAGCCTCACTCATGTGCTTGCTCCACAGCCGCAAGTGGTCCCGCGAGCAGAAGGCGGTGGGTTCCCCGGTGTTCAACTACATGACCGCCAACACCGTGAAGACGCCGCCGGTGGGACAGCCGCCGTACCAGGTACTCCGCCCCACCACTTCTCACCTCCTTACTAACTTGGCCTTGCGACATTAGAGACTCATTCATTATTTGGCCGAAATAATGTCCATAGCTAACTTCCGTAACAAGATTATCTGTAAACATTTTTTTTTTAATTTCTTATATTGGTAATCGAGCTCACCGTCCGCCTGAGTGGTCACCGGAGCCCATAGACATACACAATGTCAATGCCGTCACCCATCTTGCGACATGAGGTTTAAGTCTCAGTTTAACAGTGCAAGGGCAGCAAGGGTCCTTCAAACCGAAACGCATTACTGCTTCACGGCAGAAATAGGCAGGGTGCTGGCATCTATCTACCCGTGCGGACTCACAAGATGTCCCACCACCAGTGAGATCCCAGTATTTAGTGGCTCGCGTTACGGTTGCGTCAGTAGTCGCGTCAGTGGTCGCGTCAGTAGTCGCGTCAGTAGTCGCGTTCGAGTTCCCTGGTGTACACGGGCGCGTGTGAGGGAGGCAGCTACAGGTTGGTTGGTCCGCAGGTGACGCTGGAGGAGCGGCTGCGGTGGGCTCAGATCGCGGAAGCCATGGCTGCGCACTACGCCGTGAGTACCCAGCCCTCGGATCATTTTGTGGGAGTCGAGTCGGGAAGTTTTAATGCATCCACCATATGTGTAGCTCTGACGTGATCTCTACACCCCCCGGACTTTACCTGTGTCCCTCTCTCCAGAACTCCACGTTAGGTTAGCATGAGGAGAGGCCGGTCAAACCTACTTGTCATAGTGTTTCTATTGGAGGTCCCAAACGCCCCAGCGCCGCCGACGACACGGCTACAGGTTGCGAACCAGCTGGTACATTTATAATATAACTAGCGACCCGCCGTCGCTTCGCTTCGGAAACATTAAATTTTATTATTGATGGCTGAGTCCCGCGATCTTACCCGCGGTTATTCTCGTACCGTAGGTGAAGCCGCGGGGTGAAGCTAGTCAAAAAAAAGCCTAAGGTTCTCCTTGTATCATCAACTACCTATCAGTCTCGTCTCGTCGAAATCAGTCCAGTCGTTCCAGAGATTAGCCGGAACAAACAGACAGACAAAAATAAAAAAATATATATTTTGGTATATGTACTGGGTAGGTATACTTACTTACGTATTTAGTAAAAAGTGCTTATTTTATTATTACAAATAGACTCTCCAATTTTATTTATTTGTATAGATAAATAAACTGTGACAAACTAACAAAAAAAGGAGAAAAAAACAAAAATTGTGCTCAGAATACGAAAAATTTCTATTTTTTTTATAGCTTAGATGGAGAGACGAACCCACATCCCACCTGGTGTTAAGTGGTAACTGGAGCCCTTAGACAACTATAACGTAAATGCGCCACCCACCTTGAGATGTAAGTTCTAAGGTCTCAAGTATGGTTACAACGACTGCCGCACCCTCAAACCGAAACGCTGCTTCACGGCAGAAATAGGCAGGGTGGTGGTGCCTACCCGATTCACAAGAGGTCCTACCACCAGTGATCCAGTTCTCCGACTTTTTATTATTTTGTGAGCGGCTCGTTCCCGACCCGGTCCGGTCCGGTGTCGTGGTGCTGACCGCGCACCGCTCCTGTGTTGCAGCCGGAGCCGCAGAGCATGACGACGCGCCCCTCCTCCGCCATGTTCGGCGCCTACCCCACGCTGCCCCCCGCGCTGCCCCCCGTGCCGCTGCCCAGGTACCACTTCGTTACTTTTTTTTTCCTTCCTAAGCTGATAGCCTTGAGAGGCTATTTCAGCGTAACCTTAACTAGTAAGTGAGCTCACGGGGCTCAAACCTGACGACGTTGCTAACACGAATCCTAGCAAGAGCAGTGCTTCGCAGAATCTACTACCGGATCGGAAACGCGACCCACTGAGAAGATCCGGTGAGAAACTCGGTGGGCTGTGTCTGAGGGTTAATTTACTCGTCGAGCTCTTCGTCGCAAGCGACGGGTTCGACGAGGACGATGACCGGTGCTTGAGGTACCTAGAAGCACCGTTAGTGGATCGGGAGGATCCAAATTGACGTGTTTGGGGCGACGTCGACTGCTTTCCATTCTGTCCGCAGGATCGGGAATGAGTCCGTTACGTGTGACGCAGTGACGTATTGTCCATGCACTTGAATTTGCTGAAATTGAATATTACATTTTAGTGACAATAAGCTTACAGTTTTAGTTAGGGAAATAAACCTCAACTCACGTCTCCAAGTAGATGGGGACATCTACATGGTTGTGTCCGTGGGGCTCGGAACACGAGCTTCACTTGCAACTAAGTACAGTGTATGCGTTTTAAGATTTCGATATCCCTCAGACTGAGGGAAGGTCGGACGTGCCCTTAGAACATTGGGTACGGACTCATCTCACGCTGGCATGTGTGGGTGGTCGTCCAGTGAGCACGTGCTCAGCTGTGTGTTTGTGTGTGCAGGATGGGAGTTCACGGCGTGAGCACGGTGACGTCACGGGCCAACACCGCCGCCTCGCACCACAACCTCTACGGTCAGTATTCGAGTCGCCGACTCACAACAGATCCCTGCGCGATCTTTAGACGATCGATTTGTAATTGTGAATAATTTATAATTCGGTCAGGGTACGGCGGGCCGCTGACGGTGGACTCGTCCGGCTCGGAGTCGTCCGGGCCGCTGCCGGACCGGACCGACCTGCTGATGCCGCGCCCCAAGTCCCGCGCCAGGACCCTCCAAGTACGTATTGCATCCTCCGCGCGGCGCTCCCCTCCGCCGGCCGCGAGGGCGCGCCCTGATACCCCTCGTATGTTCCAGAGCCAGAACAACATCTACTACGACGTGGACTACGAGAACGCTCCGGAGCCGCTGTACGGCACCAAGGGCATCCCGCTCTCCACCTACAGCGTCAGCAGGGGACCGCCCTTCTACAGGCCCTGACCAGGAGCACGCTTACATTCAGGCGAACAGTACGCTTGTTGACACAACACTATTTATTGTAAATTCATGATGATGAATATGGTGCTCGTTGAAAATATTGAAATATGAATGTGTTAGAAAATAATTAGCTTACACGTTGCATGCTGGAGCCCCAGCTTACTCCATTGAGGTCTCTGAGGCCACCTTTGTGTGTCCTCGCTCCGGCGCTGGACTGTCTGTGTCCGGAGACGGCGCCCGGATCGAGTTCCATCTTATTATAATCCTAACCTAACCATATCTACATGTATATACTCTTTCTGCGGGAAAGGGATAGAGTATCCCTCCTCATTTTCAACCAAAAAAAAACCCTAGTCTGATCTGCACAAGCACCTGAATAACTCCTTCAATGTGACCCCCCGCCCCCCGACCCTGCGAGCGCGGGGTCGCATCGCCCGGGTGGCCGCGTTATACCGGGACAACATCCGACCTTCTGGATGTGTTCCTCGACTGTTCATCCTGAGGACGGACACTGCACTGCCCCCGGGGACGCGCGTCTGCCCCCCGGGCTGGTGGCTGGGCCGAATCCGTGGCGAAGTTAAGTGTATATATAATGATTAGAATTAAATAGTAGCACGGTGTTAGCGCTGAGGACGTTAGCTACTCAGTCCTGCGGGGGCGGAGCAGGTCCCGCCCCCTCGGGGACTATGTACCACAATGTAGTCTGTGCTGTGTGTCCTGTGTGACGCGCGGGACGGGCACGTGTGCTCATTAGCTCATGGCCCGGCGATGGTTCATCGAGATCATCGTCTGCTCACGAATAATAATTAAATTATATAATTAAGAAGAGTCAAGTAGGTACCTATACGTACGCACGGCAGCTTTACACGAGACCATGGTCAGCGACACTCCATTATATTGATTTACTGTGTGTATATTTTTGTTACTGATATATATATCAATGATTTTTGTAACTAATTTTTAACTATTTTCAAATGTTGTTTATGGACAAAACTAAAGCTAATAAAATAATGTCGGTTGACGAACAGACGAGCCAACGCTACGGGGTCGTTGTGTGTCTGCCCGCGGCACACCGGCACGTGCATTTAGTAGTGCATAGTGCGCACGTGCACACGAGCACATGTGCTCTTGTGTGATTACCTCAGGTCGGCGCATCGAGCGTTGCATTTTGTACTGTGTTTATATTGTTATATATATATAGATAGTTATGTTTGTGGAATATACGAATACAACGAACTACTGTCTTTTATTTTATGCCTATCCTTAGAACTAGACCGAGATAGAGGAAGAGACGGAGACCAGGGGCGTTCACAGATTAACCTACATACAGTACCTGTTTTAACACCTGTCTGTACACTATACCAGTGGTCCACGAGGGTCCGGACCAACTCTTGGGCAGGGTCGATTTCTGAGGAGTAACTTTTTTTTTTATTGCCCTTGTAGGCAGACGAGCATACGGCCCACCTGATGGTGAGTGGTTACCGTCGCCCATGGACTTCAGTAATGCTGGCATTACTGGAGATTAAGAAGGACATGTCATAGCGCTCGGGAAACACCGTGGAGGGGAGCTCATACCATAGCCGGATGGTACGTGGCAAACGTGACCTCTGGAAACGCACTGTGGATGACCGCAGTGGCTCCAGGTAGTATGGATGAACTCTACTCCGGTGGCGGGCGGTGCGATGGTAAAAACGAGATGCCGGTATCATCTCGAACAATTCCTCAGAGCAAACTGTTAGTGGTCCTAGCGAGGACGACGTGCTGAGTGTGGGAGCCAGGCAGCGCTCACCTCGCTGCCACCCTCCGGTGCAATTGTCATCATACTTATGTAGTCACTACACATATATGTACAGCACACAACTACAGGACCGCTCACGCTGCGCCTCGGGATCTACTTTAAATAAAAACTTTCACCGAAGTACGAATTAAAACTATAACACTCACAACTCGCTTCGAGTAGAACTGATGACGGCCTAATTGTATCTCTGCAACGCCTGTATAGTCGACGAGGCATATCTACAGTTGTCGACCTGGTTTTACTGGTGGTAGGACCTCTTGAGAGTCCGCGCGGGTAGGTACCACCACCCTGCTTATTTCTGCTGGAAGCAGTAATGCGTTTCGGTTTGAAGGGTGGGGCAGCCGTTGTAACTATACTTGAGACCCTAGAACTTATATCTCAAGGTGGGTGGCGCATTTACGTTGTAGATGTCTATGGGCTCCACTAACCACTTAACACCAGGTGGGCTGTGAGCTCGACCACCCATCTAAGCAATAAAAATATTGGAAAGGCCTCCGGGCCAACAGTAACCTTTCAATCACAAAAAAAAAGAATGCACTACCTAAAAGTAGGAAAGGACAGACAGATCTTTAATTTAAAAAAATAATAAAACAACACATTTCTTTTACTTATATTAATGTATAATTTTCACAAAAATGAAATCATTATAATTAAACTAATAAATGCAAATCTCTGAGTACTCAAATCGATTCAGCTCTGTATTCATATAACTTTCTTGAAATTCTATAATTTGCCTTGAGTGTGTTTCACAAGTGCTAACGAATAATTACTAAGTACTTCTGGCTGCTAAATTGCTATTAAAAAATAAATTATTACAGTGAACCTTCATAATTGACTCTGACATCTAGAATTATGAGCCTGATCAACTAATGATATTAACGAATAGTTTTAAAAAGCAAAATACAATGAAACTTGTAATTACGACGGAAACAACTGATCTGGTCAATGTTCGCTCCGTGGCCGCGCCGGCTCTCGGGCGCCGGCTCTTGAGTCTACTTGAGGTAGCAGTTGTTGAGCACGTTGTAGTTGAACCTGTACCCTGACTCCGGGACGCCGTCCGTCACCAGGTTGTCGCTGTGGAAGTGCACGTACAGGGGGCCCGGCGGGATCGCTGCCGTGCACACACACACGAGATACATTATTTATTTATGTACACACAGAAAAAAAAGACATAGTACAGAGTAATATGAAAATTATGTACAAAGGCACTGCTCATTTTTTTAAGAAATCTCTTCCAGCAGACCTGCGAGAGGATTATGGGAATAATAATTAAAAGTGATGAGTGTGTGTAGAACAGCTAAAATAAAAAATACAACATGAGAATTATAGTAATGCACATACACATAGCAGATATTGTTAAACTTGAATACAAAATATTATAAGTAACACAGTATATACGAAGAGTATAGAACAATGATCATTCGGTTGATGAGAGATAGAATTGTTTGACCTTGTATTTAAGAACAGAAACAGACTTGCAAACTCGGATGTCAGCCGGCAACGAATTCCACAGTCTGACCGCGTGCACAGTGAAGGAGTGAGAATAGAAATTGGTTTTGTGGGAAGGGAATAACAAGACAGAACGTTGGTCATGATAGTTAGTGTATGCGCTGCTGAATGTGGCGCACACAACTTGAGATTTAGATACGAAGAAATCACTGATATTCAAAGAATATCCGTCTATTATAGGTATACTTTGCTAACAAGTAACTAATTCTATCTATGTATGTTGGTGTGGTGAGTACCGCTGTATCTGAGTGCTGGACGTGTACTGGCTGGCGCTTTATACTACGGTGTGAGTAAAGCGATGCAAAAGTGTTGATGTGAATGCGCGCGTGCCCTGTGCGGGTACAGTTAGGAAGGCACCCACATCGGCGTAGAGAGACCTGCTCTGCAGCGTGAACAAGCTCCAAGAATCAGAACTAGTCTGTGCCTTCTGTAGGCTCGGACTGACAGTGCACTGCTCGTGAGGACGAACCATATGTCCAGTGGACTTTGTACTGACGCTCGTTCCATTAGCTGGCAGGACCCAGAGTCGCGTCTTGTTATCTTGACGCTCATACGATACGCTCTGAAGCGTGAGGCGACCCTCGTATCACCAGCACACCAACTTAATCTTAACCGTGTGCGAAGTCTGAATGAGCCCACCGAATTTGGCAGCTCGTGTCCCTATATTTACGTAGCTATGACTATAATGAATTCCAAATGATAATTAACTCACAAGCTACGATCTGGTCGGCTGCGCTGCTGCCACAGAACTTAGTGCCCCGCAGCCCGTCAGCGGTTTCGGCCTCCGGGATGAACAGGTAGTCCTCGGACTGTGCCACCCCCTGGGTGACCGGGTTGATCTGGCAGTCCGTGTCCAGGTACAGGTTCTCGGAGTCCCGGTACGCCAGCTCGAAGCTCGCCGACGTTATCCTGGGAACGCATTGTGTGCGCTTAATACACAAACATCTCCGTGACGTTTTATTTATTTGCCCTACCTAAGCTGAGAGCCTTGAGAGGCTACATCAGCGTGACCTTAACTAGTAGGTGAGCTCACGGAGCTCAAACTTGACGACGTTGCTAACACTGGCCCTAGCAAGAGCCATGCTTCGCAGAATCTACCACCGGATCGGAAACGCGACCCACTGAGAAGATCCGGCGAGAAACTCAGTGGGTCTGGTGTCTGAGGGTTAATTTACTCGTCGAGCCCTTCGTCGCAAGCGACGGGTTCGACGAGAACGATAAGCGGTGCTTGAGGTACCTAAAAGCACCGTTAGTGGATCGGGAGGATCCGAAATGACGTGTTTGGGGCGACGTTGACTGCTTTCCATTCTGTCCGCAGGATCGGGAATTAAATCCGTGACGAAGCTAGCAGATAGTCTACAGAGTACAAAGTCATACAAAGCGGATGCGGGGTTGCGGATGGACCTTCGATTGTAGATAGAAAGTGAGAGTAGGTACTGACTTGACGCCGCAAACGTCGGAGGGTCGCTTGAAGCAGGTCGCGTAGGCCAGGTTCGCGATGTAGGGCCCTGCGCCGCGGTTGTAGTTGAACGACTCGAACGAGCCCGACCGGTCCGGGAAGTACTGCAGGCAGCCGGGAGGAGCTGCGGGACACGTGACCAAGTGTACCACGCCGCATGTTGTGCTTCCGCAGAACGCACACAGACAGCCATACTCGTTTTGATAGTGTATATTTTAAACGATCAAAGTATGTACGTTTGAATACCTAGTTGTCATCTCTTGAATACGCATCGTAGTTCGAGTAGAGATAGTGCTTTTGACGGTAGACAGTTAATGAAATAAGTTGGTGAATGTACTAACCGATGAGATACTCGTCCCGGTCGGCGGAGGACGTGAACGGGGTGGAGGGCAGCGACGACGTGATGGCCTCCAGGATGCCGTCGCGGTACTTGCTGTGGAGCGCGGCGATTATACCATTAGGATCATTACGTGTATTATTAACCCCTAGGATCGAGTACCGTGTTGTAACTGGTCAGGTCGTTTAGCGAGGCTCTCCCTTCAACTACGAGCGGTAGGTGCGACAGATCCAGGATACAACCCACTGTCGCGGCTGGGAGACCAGACCCGTGGCGCGCGGCGTCGGAAGCCCACAGCACGTGACCCAATACTATGCATACACGCTATTTATGTGTTATTGAGAGACATTTTCCCGAAGCTAGCCTTTGAGTGACGGCAAATAGCTGTGTCTAACGAATTCTATTTGTATCTCCTTAGCCTCAATGTCACAGGCCCAGAGGCTACACAGAAAATGAAGGGTTAAAGATTCCCCTCACCATAGCACGTTGTTATTTATTGTAACAAAGTGTTAATAAACATTTTTCGCTAAATGTTGAAAGTTATTTGTAACGAAGACGGCGTTGAGTTAGCACACAGACGGGTCGGCGGGACCACGGGACCAGCCCGGCCCGGCTGCGTTAAGTAGGCTTACCCGAGAGTGTTGAAGCACTCGAGCTGCGTGACCTTGATCTTCCAGGTGGCCTGCGGGAGGTTCGGCTGCGTGTTGCGGTCCGCTATCTTGAAGTTGATGCGGATCGATCGGCTGTTCGTGGACGCGTTCACTCGGATGTACACTGCGCATTACAACAATATTATACAGGTACCAGACACTACTCAAGCAGTACAACACTAGTTCTAGTTGTCAGACGTGCGGGGAGCCCGTGCTGCCACTGCCTGGGTATTGAGTTGTGTCTGTGGACGCGGGCTCCAACTGCGGTGTCAGTACGTCACGCTGGTAGTGACGATGGAGAGAGAGAGAGAGAAACAGATAGTGCTCACTGTGCTGCCCGTTGTTGTCGCCGCAGAGTGCCGGCAACAGATCGGAGTTGGCCTGTAGGTTTGTTACTTGGAAGATGTCGTTCCTGCAGGTGTATCCTGGACGCTGGGTGACGTTCTCCACTGACTCTACCTGAGAACCGCAAGTCAAATGAAGCCATTGTGTGTAAGTAATCTGTGAGTATTGCATATTGATCTAACGCAGGGATTCCCAAACTTATTTTGCTTACTGCCCACTTTAAGAATAATTTATTTGTTAGCGCCCCTATATTTTCACCTACTTAAAAACCACTATAGCGAAAGATCAGTCGATGTCTAAGAGTCCCCCTAGATGAAATTACAAATCGCCTCCCAAACCTCTACACAACGCCCCCTTTTTTTCTGGGTCTCTTACCGCCCCCCTTTAAGCCTGCAGTGCCCACAAGGGGGCGTTATCGCCCACTCTGGGAAAGGCTGATCTAACGTAATAACGACAAGACAATGCAGCAAAGGTACGTCGAGTGCGATGGGTGGTACGTACCGTCGTCGGCGGCGCGAGGTTGAAGGTCTCGAAGTCTATCCTCATCTGGCACACGTTGTTGTTGTTTATTTCCACGTTGTAAGAGCACTCCAGACCTGAAGACTCTCTGTTCAGCGGAGGGTTGATGAACACTGCCACCTTAGTGTTGGTCCGCACATCGCACGCGTTCACTGAAACGATGTTACGGCTTATAGCTTCTCTATTAGCTGGGTCATTGTATGTGACGAGCAGGTTGTACACTCACGCGCGCAGCAAGTGGCGAACACTCCGCAGAATCCGATGGCCTTCCCTCCCTGCGTGTTGCACTGGTTGCGCGAGAGGCACACGCCCCCGGTGGATCTGTCGGAGCCCAGGCACTGCTCCCCGTTGCCCACAGTGAATATACTCCCCGGAGACTGCCGCGGAGCTGAGACGATACAAACACTTGTTGTAAGGGAAAGACTCATCGAATACATTATGAAATAGCGCCGTGTGTTGGCTAGCTGCCTCACTCACATCGGAGGATGTTGTCGGCGGCGCAGTGCGCTGTGGCGAATAACAAGAACAGCCTGCTCAGAAATTTAACTGCCATGTTGAAAGCTTCTGCAACAATAACAAAAATGTATTACGGATTTAGCAGAGTTTGAGCTGAAGGAACTTGATCCCAGCTGCACTTTCCCAATGTTGTTGAATGTGCAGGATTTGTTTATCGTCCAAGGGGAAATAGTTTTGTTGTCTTCTATGTGAAATATGCCCACACCCAGAAGAGAGTTCGTCCACCGCCCTGCGTAATGTTCTGATAGCGCGCTCCGCACTCAACTAAGGGTTCACCACCCCCGGGTGCGCCCAGCAGATCGCCTACAACGATCCTTACAAAAAATATTGACATAACGTCAGTGGCCCCGCGGCAGAGCGACGCAAGCTCGCCAGACAACACCAAGCATCACGGAGTTCCCGGTTTAGTCTCTGCGAGTCTCGTTAGTGGGTCGGTGACCGAAACTGTCTATTCTGGTAACTGTTTTATTGAATCTATACCTCGGCTAGATCCCGCATCACCGATCGTAAATCATAAGTTTACCGTGAGTACAGTTAACAGTTAGCGTCTAGTGAGTGGGCGCGTCTGCCGGGGCCGGTTCCGCCGTGACCCCGGCTACCTCTTAATGTACGTACGTACACAACATGAAATACGCGACGCCACTTGGTATCGAGTGATTTCTGAAGCCTCATCGCCTACCTTGAGGCGTGAGTCCGACACTCAAGTTTAAATTGCATTCAGTTGTCCAAGACATGTATACCTGAATGAAGTTACTATTAATTGATTCATAAAAATAATAACCGGTTCTGAGTCTTAACGTCCGGAAGTAAGGAAGAGAAGCGGGCCGGAGGTGAACGCTCGCGGCGTTGCGCCACACGCGGCCCGCCCGGCCCGGCACCGGCCGCCGGTCCGCACTCACTGCACCGACCGGTACTACTCTATCAAGTAACGGCGCTTTATCGCTGTGTGACGACACTGACCGGCGCGCGGCCCTTGTCGTGGGAAGTTACGGGGCTCGCCCACATACGACCAGATACTAAATACCAGACCCGGCCACCTGCCCGACCTTCGGCTTAGCCCGTTAGCACCTCACACAGAGTCCCTGGGGCGCCCGGGGCCCGGTGCTGTGGCGCGTGTCTCGTGCCAGAGGTCGCGAGCTCTACTTTGAGTGGTTGCTGGTGATTTATTTATTTTGGTAGCGACAACATGTCCGCGACGTACTCATGCTCGCGGTTGACAAATCAAAACAACAAATCTCAGCTACAATTGAGTTGAATTGATTAATTCATGGAACCTGAACGCTTAGTCCTGCGTCGCGGTAGAACGCGGCATGCTGGATGGCAGCTGCCGGCGCCCCGCACGCCCTCCCAGCAGGGCCGGGGTGCTACCGTACCTACCGCCTGCAATGTCTCACACATCGAACGCGGAGCTTACACACTTCACAGCTTTCTTCTTAACCGTTATTATGACACTCTGTACTGCTGTTTATTTTTCTAATTTTAGAAAAAGATTTTACCGAACAATTCGGGAAATATTAAAATAGTATCGCGTTCAGTAAATTATGTATTATTAATGTGACAAATACTTCAATATACCTAATTATTTGATGTTGGCAAATCAATCTCAGTAACAAAACACATCTGTGCGAAGAGAACGAAAGCACCGCGGGGTCACCAGACCTGGCAGTCTCAGGAAACAGACGAGCGACTCGGTTTTGTTACTGATTTAACACGTGTATTATGAAGTAGTGATATTTTATAGAACTTTACTATTAATAATATTTAGATATAGAGCGGTGTGTACGTACGTGCGTGTGTGTCGGCGCGCAGAGTCGGCGGGAGCCGGCCACTGTGCGGCGCGCCCTTATATACCGGACACGCTCGGGGAGCTAGGCTCGGCCGCCGGCACGTCACCAGCAGGAACTACATACTGAATAAGTCGATTTCAGTATTCTAAATAATACACTTACACGTTGTAACGCCATCAGTTCTTTTTATTTCTCATTTCTGGAATCAAACGTATAACAAAATAAAGTCTCCCATAAGAAAAAGTCAAGGTATAATGGCTTTGCGACGTGTGTGACGATGATGGTTGACGGCTGGAGCCGGGCAGGCGCGCCCCGCGTGTTGCGTGCTACATACCGCTCAGTACTCTCTGCAAGCCTGGTTTGAAGGAAGGCATATCATAGTGCTTGGCAAACCGTGGAGGGGAAGCTCATTCCAGAGCCGGACAGTGCGTAGGAAAAAAGATCTATGGAAACCCACTGTCGAACTGAACGCAGCTGTTCTAGGTAGTTTGGATGAACTCTGCTCCGGTGGGGAGGAGCGACAATAAAACCCAGAAAGAGGGATGCTCTCGAACACTTCCTCTGAGCACTCCCCGTGGAACATTCAGCACAAAGCAAAAACATGTTTTCTGCAGTTTATCTAAATTGTAACTGCAGTTACACTAAAACTGGATTCCCGTTAAAACTTTACAGGTGTGTTTTTTTTTTTTTTTGTTTTTAGGTTTTTGGTTTTTTTTTGACGGACCCCGTGGCGTCCTACAAAAAATTACCTGACCAGGAGTCCTGACCGACCGACTCTGCACAGCAGCTGTTAGCTAGTAACCTACGTAGTAACGATGTGTGATGACGTGTGATGTTAGTCCATGTACTAGGTATATACATATACGCGTATGTGAATGAGACGCTGTGCTGTTTGTGGTGAGACAGTAAACGATGTTCGTAGCCGCCGGGTGCCTGCCTCCCGGTCTACACGTCTTAGAACTCTCGTCTCATTAAACATAAGCTCATTAAGCTATTAAACAAATTTGATATTGGTCGGCTCGGGTCGGCGGAGTAACGGGACAGTCGCCGCCCCGCCCCGCCCCGCGCTGCTCGCCACGTATTAACCGGACGTCCCGTCACAAGGGATTCTTGGTTCAACATTATGTGTTTTGTATCTGCACTATTACTACTACTACAAGGGAAGCCCGAGGCGTCCTCGCTGCCCGGTAATGTTGACGAGCGGCGCTCACTGCGCGGTGCGGCCTGTGTCAAGCCTTCGACTCTTTAACGGCTGCGGTGACCGCGAGGAGGACTGGGCGGTAGTGTAGCGTGGTTGTTTCAAGTACGCGATCTCTCCCGCATCATATATTTTGAGACAGTAACCTATCCGTTTATTAACCAGGAGATACTGGTGGTAGGACCTCTTGTGAGTCCACATGCGTAGGTACCACCACCCCGCCTATTTCTGCCGTGAAGCAGTAATGCGTTTCGGTTTGAAGGGTGGGGCAGCCGTTGTAACCATACTGAGACCTTAGAGCTTATATCTCAAGGTGGGTGGCGCATTTATGTCGTAGATGTCTATGGGCTCCAGTAACCACTTAAAATCAGGTGGGCTGTGAGCTCGTCCACCCATCTAAGCAATAGAAAAAAAAGATGCAAGTCTTCCCCGGGAGCGCTCCCTACAGCTGCTGATGCACATCATCCGTTATAGAGCTCTCCTCACCTGGCTGTTCTACCCAGCCCTTCACCCTTTAAGTCCTGCTAGGAGTATACACTAGTGGACAGACTTGTGACGAGTTCACCTGGATTGGTCTCACAGTCCTGGTTCTTTAAACAGAGAAGCAATGATACACCTCGATATGAAGGTTGGAAGACCCGTTGCTCTAATTATATTGAGACTTGTACATGCGGCCTCCAAGAGTGTCGAGCTACGGAAGGGCCGACTACCGTCGACTAGTTCCGTACCTGTGCCGCGGAGGAATGAGTATCATTTGCTGGATGAAGGAGGAAAAGACTCTCAGACCGAGTCCCACAATAGTCACCTTCGCTCATAGTACTTATGCCCGTATCTTTAGACGTTTCGTAAAATAGTCCTCGACTCTTAACTCATCCGATGATGCTCGAGCATTCCCTCCAAACTTACTCGAGTTTGGTATTTTTAGTCGACCATTACAATATTCCTCAACTGCCCTCGAGTGAGGTAATAATGATGAAAATTTTATCAAGCTAGCATCAAACCCATAGTGTTCTGTAGTCTATGGTCATTGTTTAATGTCAAAGTCAAGCTGCCGCTGTCTGTTTGACACTAGATGAACTTGTTTAATGTTTTGGTTGCTGAGTTATTCGTCAATATGTGCGCGTGCGCTAAATCTAAAAGTGTATTATTTATTTTCTAACCTATTATTATTTTAGATTTCGGATCCGGCTTTGTATTTTTATTCGCCGCTTTTGTGTGATTTTGGTTGCATCGTGTTGTTGAAGTGCTTTTCCACAACTACCAGTTTATTATTATATAAATAAAACTTATAATCGCATTGACTTTATTTATCAGGTAGTAAGCAAAATATGACTCTTATGTAGGTAAATAAAATAGGTTGTTTCAAATGTCTAACTTCGAACTATTTACTTTATTAATAAATATTATCAAAATTAAATTATCAAAATATGCGGGAATCATGCACAGATCCAGGCCATTGCACAACAATATCATATATTTCCATTTGCGGTCCACATACTATTTGGACATTGATAGAAAACCAGCCTTGAGGAACGTTCAAGGTACGTCGCGACGTACCTTGACTTGACAGTTCG